GGAGAGATAAATGCGTCCAAGGTACACGTTTACACATACACACTTACATATGTGTATACAAACGTGCATCATTCACATTATGTAATATTGAACCCACCTGCGTTCCCTTGCCGGATCCCGGCGGTCCTAACAGAATTGCATTGATTCCGGTAGTTTGGGGCTCATATCGCTCCACTGGTACTGCTACATTCGGCGCCATGGTTCGGTTTATTTACAAAACTATTTACTTAATGTATTAATTCAAGAACTTAACTAAACGAACAAGAAATGAAGGTTAAACAGATAAGATATAGGATTAAGTGTGACCGCGGAGCTAAAATATACCGCCTGAACCAGAAATATACCGAAATATACATTTTCCTTTTTAAAATATACCGTATATCCTTTATAGTTTTGCTCGAGAAAAATTAGGAGCTAGCTCGTTCAGTGAACAGATATGGAAGAGTGGATAATTTCGTACCGGTTGAACCGTTAGACGACGACATCGATCGAATTTGTCGGTGGATTCGATTTCTATATATTTTCTATATACATTGCAAAGACATTATAAAGTAATCTGTGCTAATATTAAAACGCAACTTCTTTGTTTTGCTATAACAATTTGTTAACTATTTATTTATTCTGGAATTCGTGTATTACAATTGCCATGATACATTTTGATATTGCCCTCGCAGCGGAAGTATGCGTCAAATATGTCACTATAGCCGTGATCTTTCCACCAAGTACATAGCTGCCTATTCCACACGCAATCTAGTCTATATATCAAATTGGGGTACTCGTATCCCAGTAAAGTGAAAAAATCTTGGTCTCCCAAGTGTCCCTTGAAGGAATACTTTGCAACGAGCGTTTGCACTTCCGAGTTTGTAAGTTTTTCCAGATATGATTTCGAGTTTCTTATGCGATTTAAAAGCAGCAGGACGACTCCAGAGTTAAGACCCGGATAACCATGGCGCTGCTCATGGTTGTGATTATGTTGATTTCCCATCTCGTGGTTCATTGGATAATATGGGTTTCCAAAGCTAGTCTTTGGATACCGTACGCGATAGCGGTAGAGGATATGACGATATACGGGAGTTAGTTCTGGCGCCAGTCCATAAAGTTGGTGCGGCAGAAAGTGATCAAATTCATTGAACAGTAATCTAACATCGGAACGGAAGACTATATCACAATCCAGCAGAATGGCTCGATTTAAGCTTGCATCGGCGATTCTATGGAGCCCGAGGGACAAAAAAAAGAGCGAGTCGCTGTAATAAGAGTTGGGCGCTGAGCTAAAGAACGGGGATAACTTGGCAGCTATGTCCTCTATGATGGTGGAGCAGACTTTTACGTCGTACATTGTATATATCACCGTTCTACGAAATCTGCGAATCTGCCTCTGAAGGATCTCCATGACGGAGCTGGAGCTCTCCTTGTCGGTGATTACATGCAGATGGAGTTGGGCACTTGTGTGTTTCAGCAGACTGTGTGCAAACAGATCGAATTTCAAGTTAAGATGGTAGTTTTCTCTGGTGTAAATTATAAATATATTATAATTATTGTCAGAGGAATGGAACTGCGCGCCCAGTTCCAGCTGCGTGGAGGAATAGTTCAGCAAATAGTGGGTAGGCTTTAGGAGGATGGGCTGAACGGACGTCGTTGTTTGTTGAACATTGGAGTCTCTTGTCTCCTGCTTCTCAGTGTGTGATAATTTGTTAAGCCGGCTCGAAAGAAATGCGGAGAGTATATTTCCCCGAACTGATAGATGCGTGTTGGCGTAAATTATAAGAACACACATACAAATTAGTATCAGCAAGAGAACTAGTTTCTTCTGCCATCTGCAGCGTAGTACGCTCCAGGTCCAGCTCTTTGATGGACGAACGGAATTCCGGCGATTGATGATTAATGTCACATTTTCCTGCTCCTCCAACAGCTGCGATTTGCACTTCATAATACCATACATGTTAACGTCTGTAGGAAACGTTTTATGCTTTTGACTGATTGTTTTAAAGCTGTACTTTGCCATTTTGGAATGAGTGTAAGCTGCACCTATGTCATAACAATACAATACACGAACGAATGAGTATCTTGTGTTAGAATACACTAAATGGAAACTTCGAGCATATAAGCATTAGCGCACTAAACATTTCGACTGGCTTTAACTAATTTTAACTACAATACGACGATAACAAAGCACCCAATGGAAAAATCAATGTAAAATATCGATGTCGGCTCTTGACCCTTCGCATCGATGGTGTTTCTCACACATCGAAGTGATAAGTAAAAATATCGATAAGTTTGTGTTAGTTGCTAGTCTTATCACTAGATTTAAACAAAATTCAAGGTAAGTTCATTCTTTATTTGTAACAATCCAATAAAAATAAGTCTTGAAAACTTGCCAGTCCTATGAAACATTAATTCATCAGTTGGATAAAATTGTAGTTTGAGGGCTGAGAGTCCTAACTAGCTAATAATATTAAATAGAATATCAAAATCGAGGAAAATGATTTAGAATGCGGTATATTTAGAAAATGGAAAGGTATATTTTGGGTTATCTCGAAATCTTAATCGATTATTCCGCGGCCACACTGGTGCCAAAGAATTATACATAAATCCAATCATGCGCAGAAGTAATATTTTTATCAGTATAAGTACATGTTGTTCCAAAACTACAAAGAGATTTACATTAAGAAAATGTAATAGTTTGAGCATCGTATAGACTACAAAGTATTCTATTGCGGGCTTCAATTTGGATACACGCTTACATTTGGTGCAACACTATGGACGTCCATCGGATTGAGGTTCCCCTGCGATCTGGCGGAGGAAAGAAAATGAAAAAACGAAGGGAGCTCGATGCCCTTATAGCGCAGTCATCTTCGTCCAAGAGAAACACCCGTAGAACTGCTGGAGGAGCGACACATTCCCAGGACAAGTTGTTATCCGTTTCCACGGATGACCCTGAGGAATATGCATGGGTAAGTAGGGGCCAAACTAATGATGGGTCGTCAAGTACAAGGTTATTTCAATTGGTTTGTACATGTGCATGTGTATGTGTACATGTAAATCGAGGAGGAGTTTTCTCCACCTTGTTAATAACCTTTATAAGCGATGTAATATGACAATAGTCGCAGCCTTGATCGACGTCACGGCCGAGTGACTGGAGCGAGTGCATACCTTCGTGATTCATTTGTGAATGCGGGTAATGAATACTTGGAACACATTTGTTTACCTTTTTGGTTTCCCCTTCTAGACGAATGTTTCTGGCGCCACTCGTCGCAGCCATCGGAAATTTGCTTACTTTCGCATGTGTGGGCCCCTGTTCTTGGGCATCATTGGCATTTTAATTGTTTCGATATTGTACTGGCTGTATTTCGATCTTCGCCAGCAAATGTCCGATTATCGTCAGAAAATCGAGGAGGGTAAGTCTCAGCTAACACGCATATTGTTCCATTATGTAACTCTTATACTTACAGTGTCTGCCATGAGCAAAAACTTTCCGGATACTCTGCAGCGGTGGCATGAGACATCGTCCTATCTGATGAAAAATCAAACGGCAGTTATTTACGAAATAAGCGAGTTGCAAAAATCTATCGAGGGATTGCGCATGAACTTTACCAGTCTCGAGGCAGCAGTGGCTTCTCAAAGAAATCACGGAAAGGACGAGAAGATGGTGGCAGACTTTGGAGCGAAGATAGAAGCTGTCGCCACAGACATTGAGGCTATAAAGGAACATTACAACAAGTATATCGAGGTGCAAAAAAGTATTCAAGCTGAGACAGAAGCTTTAAAGGTGCGTCAATCACAATTATCCACAGTAAAATTTTTTAATGAGATAGGCAAACCCTTTTTCAGGCAAATTTGTCGCAGTTGCCGATGCTGCATGCCAACGAGTTGCCCACAAATTTATCGGACAATATTGCAGCACTTAATCAGACCACACTTAATTCCCTGAAGATGCTGTCAAACGACTTGAAAGTCGTGAACAACACACTGAGCCAAACAACGAACATGCTGGGAGAGGAAGTATCACTCCACAAAGTAACTATTAGCCACACTCTGCGTTAGTTCTACTCTAACTTTTACATTTCGCAGACCAAAATAGATGATTTGATGGATCGTTCGGAGAATGTGACATCACATGTTGCCACCATAAGCAATAGCTGGCCGGAGTACAAGCAAAAAGTAACAAACTTCGACGAGGCCTTGGATAAAACTGAAAAGGAGGTAATATTTTGGATGCTGCTTGCCCTGCGATTACTTGCTAACTCCTACTTCTCAATGTCCTCCAAGATATCGCTCTTAAACAGCAAGAACTCAATGCTTTCTGCTGCAGTTGAGCAGTTGAAGAACTTTTGCATTCAGCGTATCCAAGGCACAAACAGCGAAGATGCAGCCATTATTCCAAAGGTAAAAGTTAGTCAGCAAATTGTTGCAGTTTTTACCATCATATAATTTCTTACAGCCTGAAGTCAAAGCCGCTGGTCAGGAACTTGTGAATCCGTTAGAAAATGCCACAGTCAAACCACAACAGGAAACGCCCACACTGTAAGCAATACAATGCTGTACAAATATGGCATTGGTTGAAAGCTATTAATTATTCAGCCCATAAGCCTGGGTGAAAGTCACAGCCAACGATTGAAAATATTTACATTTAATACACACGAAAACTGCAGTGTACATACATAAGTGTAGTTCAGAGAGCTATCTAAAATAATGACAAAGTATAGAATGGATGGTTGGATGGTTGGGGGATGTACGTGTAATCGTGTGATTTCAGTTAAGTTTACTTTTAAAGTCCGTCGTAGAAAAAGGTAATTTTTGTATATAGAAGTTTGTAAGGTAAATGCAATATAATTCTTTATAGGTACAATATGCATTTTATGTCCAATTAATAAACGATTCAAGCTCACGCTCGACACTTTGCAATTTTGATATTTAAATCAGTTCAGTCCATGCTTGCTGTTTTACTTAATCAAAATACATTTTATTTCAATATGCATAATAAACAAGAAACATTAAATTTAACAAATTATCGCCGCCTAATCATCTTCAGAGGGTTCATCGGACTCGTCTCCGTCCTCATCATCAAACTCTTCGATGTCTTCCCCAACTGAGGCGGGTTTCTTTTGCTTGCTGAGTAGCCACTCGCGATAGGCGGCCTCCTCCTCAACGGTCGGATCACTGGCCTCGATGAAGTCTTCCGCCTCGTGGGTGTACTCCTCCTGCACCATGGGCAGGTGATTGAACGGCATGTTGCGTGCATGGTACTTGTGCCCCCAGCCCAAGTATATGGATTCGCAAGTTTTCTCGAATATAAAGGTGTGGGCACCCGGCCACACGTTCGATTGCATGAGGAGAACGCGTTCCTTTTGATTGGTGTACTTGCTGGTCTGGCGTATCAGCCAAGGCGTGGCTATTTCCGGACTCATGTCGTTGGCGCACGAGGACAAAATACTGGGCCCTATTTCCGGTTGATTAAAGCCCTCAATCATACCCTCCTCTTCGCCCTCTTCCTCATCCTCGACGTCCTCTTCCTCCTCCATCTCTTCCTCCATTTCCTCCATGAGTCGCATTTTTAAATAGAGTGCCAGCGCCTTCTCGCGCTCCTTTTGGGCTTTCTCCTCGTTGAACCACACGACACGACCTTGATGCAGTATATTCGAACGGACGTGCACCCAGGCCACTGGAGTGGCCAAAGACCCCAGCGGTTCTGCTTCATATTTTTCATTTTTCAAGAGCATAACGTCGTTGTCTGTGAAGAAATGTGATGTGGATTTTGTGTCAATGGTGAGTCAACGAAAATTACCTTCAATCTGATCTTCTTCGCCTTCGTTTAAGTCCTCGTCTTCTTCATCCTCCTCCTCCTCTTCCTCCCCTTCGTCGAGGTCACCTTCAAATGCGAGCTTCTCCTTCTTGGTCATGCGTCGGTAATAGCCAATGGGCGCGATGTAGGTGCCAGCCGTAATGCGACCGATCATGGCGCGCAGGTAATGCTTCTCCTTGCCGGGAAAACATGGATACGAGATGACATCCGCCTCTAGATCGCCAGTGAGAAACTTTTTGATTTGTCGCGAGATGACCACTTGGCGGGGCGTCACTATGGGCAGCTCAATCCAATCATCGGACAGGGAGTTGACCACAAAATACGAGTAACGATTGCAGCCAACTCCAATGTACTCGGGTGGTATGTCGTAGAATTCAATTTCCTCCACCAGGGGCACATCTGAGGCCTTTGGCTTCATGATCTCCAGCTCTTCAATGGGATAACCCTCCCAACCATAGATGCCGGGCGTGAGCTCTGGACCAATATGCGGCGGCAGTGGTCGCTCCTGTCTGTCGTGGCGCATCTTGATAGGCAGCTGCTTCTCGCGCATCTCGTCCTGCATCATTGCCAGGCGCGACTGTATTTCCTCGCGAGTCAGCGTGGCCTCCACTATGTAGTAGGAGGCCTTCAGTCCATTGATGCAGCCCCAGAAGCGGCACTGCATGATCGAGGAGTGTGTCTGCAGTCGGTTCATGGCGCAGGCCAGCTGGAAGATGTCATCGTTGCTGATGCTGAAGCCGCACTGATTCCAATAGAACTGCAGCTGCTGCACGCGCTCGTTGAAGGTCACAAACTGACGCATAGAATCATCAACGACTATGCGCAGCTCTTCCTCATCGTTGATTTTGCTTTCCTCGCCATACAAGTCCTCGGCACCCACCAAGTCTTCCCCCTCAATGTTGTAGGGCAGCTGCGGGCAGAATTATGAGAGACAAACTTTATGATTAATTATATTAGAAGTACCTGCATGGATTGCAGAATCTGCTTGGCGACCTTGAAGGTGCGCACTTCGTCGAATATGCCATTGGGCGGAAAGCGTTCCGGCAAGTGAAATTTCTGTTCGCGCACATTTCGGCTGAACTCCTCAAAGAAATCAATCACATTCGGCGGACGCTCATCAATGACACGCTTAATTATATCGCTTAAGTGATCGAATCTAAGTGAAAGACACATTGGGGTAGATATTAACTATTAGTCACAGTTAATACTCACAAGTTATCGCCACTTAATGTGCTGTACTGCTGCATTATGGCCTTGGCCACATTCAGTTCATAGTCAATGTCGGGCGGATCTTTGACTAGAGCTTTGTTGAAGTGACAGTCGGAGTCGAATGCCCCCATCGATATGGTGGTCGAGGAGGATGTCGAAGTCGATGTAATCAGTTGCGAGCATTTTGGCGACGACTCCTGCTCCACAATAATCTTCTCAGGTTTCTTCTTCTTGGTAACGCAAGGCGGTGGCAGCCCCAGCAGATCCGAGCTGCTTGTGGAGCCGAATGAGAAATTTTGGCACGAATTGTTATCCATCGTTGTATTTACTGGCCTTATTTGATTGGTAAATTAAAACTATGTGTTGTATGAGCCCAAGGCACACAGAATGAATGTTGACTTAACAACAAAAGCCAACATTGTTCTTGGTAATTTTCTGTTTTATTTGAATTTCAGTCAGTCGGGTTATCGATAACATAACAGAGTTATGTTAGTAGTGTATGCATGTGTGTGTGTGCGTGTGCGTGCTACCTGTTGTTTACCTTACATCTGATTCTCTCACTCAGCTCTCTGTTTGGTGTTTGGAAAAAAGAAAGTGCCCAAGAAAGTTGCAATGTGCTGATCGTCAGGTTGTACATGCAGAAACATTTGGAATTTGTAGTAATCTATGCAGCATTTTGTGTATAAATTCCGTGGACAATCTCCTTGTGCAGTTCTTAAGTTTCTTCTTGGATTTGGAAGACTTGCTAATAGCTCGCATTGATCGTTTGCGCTTCAGAACAGAGCCCCTCCCTGTTGCTGTTGCTGGTCTCATCATTCGGGAATGCTTTGCCTAAAGTAAGTTTAATAAAAATGTATTACCTGAACGAGACAACGCTTCCGTCGACGGATAACTTCGCCCAAAGAGACGCACACGCCTCCAACTTGGAGCTAAAGACAGTATCCATTAATCCAGATGGTAAGGAATTAATTTACATTGCTTTGGGTCCATCACTTGATTATTTTATTATGCAGACACCTATACAGTGCAGCAAGCAATTAATGCATTCGGATTTGGCTGGTTCCATGTGAAATTGTCGCTCCTGGTGGGCCTCTGCTGGATGTCGGACTCCATGGAAATGGCCATTCTGAGCATTATTGGGCCGGCATTGTTCTGCGAGTGGAACGTGTCTAAACTCCAGCAGGCTTCAGTGACAACAGTTGTGTTTTTGGGCATGATGATCAGCTCTAGTTTTTGGACACAGCTGAGCAACAGATATGGCCGCAAGTCGGTAAGAAATTCTAAAGTTTTTAATGATCTTTAACTTAAATCAACTCCTACACTTATTTGCAGGCACTCACATTGTTTGGCGTGTTACTAGTTTTATACAGCATTCTAAGCTCAGTTGCACCCAGCTATGCTTGGCTGCTAACGCTGCGTGGGCTCGTGGGTTTCACCATTGGCTGCGTGCCACAATCGTGAGTAATGGCATAGATCAATTTGCAACTTATACAACTTAATATACCTTTCAGTGTCACTTTGTATGCAGAGTTTCTACCAACCAAACACAAGGGAAAGTGTGTAGTTCTAATGGATGTAAGTAGCTGATAGTTGGGCCTGCTACATCCCGTATAACTTTCTTTCATTCTAGTGCTTCTGGGCGTTGGGAGCGTGCTTCGAGGTAGTCCTCGCTTTGGTTGTATATCCCTACTTTGGCTGGCGTGGACTTTTGGGATTGTCGGCTACGCCGCTTTTGATATTCACACTGCTCTCGCCGGTATTTAAATTGTTTAGCCAATAACGTCAAAGAAATATATTAAAAACTTTTAGTGGCTCAGCGAATCGGCTCGTTATCACTCGAATAATGGACGCAACGATAAAGCCTTGAAGGTGCTAGAGCAGGTAAGCACACAGCCGTCTAGTAATGGCTTATAAATAATTTAATTTTATTTGATTTGCTTTGCTTAGATAGCGCAGAATAATAAACGTCACATGCTGATCGGACGCCTGATTGCCGATGAAGAGCCCAGCTCCCCCGAGAGCTTCAGGTCGCTGCTGAGTCCCAATTTGTATCGGACCACGCTCCTGTTGTGGTTTATCTGGCTTGCCTCGGCCTTTTGTTATTACGGCTTGGTGCTGGTTACCACAGAGCTGCTGGTGGCGCGAAACAAGGAAAAATATCCCAATGATTGCGTTACATTTATGACTTCCGATTTCATGGACCTACTCTGGATTACCCTGTCGGAGTTTCCTGGTATACTGCTGACAATCAGAGTGATTAAATTGTTTGGCAAGAAGAAAACGATTGTCCTGCAATATTTAGTGCTTGTCTTGTGCACTTTAGTTCTAACGACAGTCTCGAGGTAATGTTTAAACTATTTTATTGTTAGTCTCACGCATTTAGAATATTTATTTGCAGTCGTTTTGCCACTTCGGCTACGCTCTTCATTGCCAGGGGCGCGATATCTGGCATTTTCCAAGCGATTTATGTCTACACTCCGGAAATATATCCCGCTGCACTCCGCTCCATAGGTGTCTCTGGATGCTCTGTGCTGGCACGGCTGGGCGCCATGCTCACCCCCTTCGTGGCCCAAGTGCTGATGGAGTCGTCCCGAGTGCAGGCCGTCTCTATCTATGGATTCGTTGGACTGCTCGCAGCCATCGCGTGCGCCTTTCTGCCCCGCGAAAATGTGGGCTATCACTAGTTGTGTGGATAAATTCGAATTCTAAATGTAATGCACGACCCTGCTGTAGCAAGGAACGCTGCTCAATAGCCTACCCAAAAACCATTCCCGACCACATCTAAAGCATTTGCCTAGTTTTGGGGCTTGTGTGTAATAATGGTTTGCCTGAGACTACTTTTAGTTTCTTGGTTGTTGAAAAACTAAAATAAGTTTTCTTATTTTCTCAGTATTTTCAATGTGAAGCAGCTTTTGTTCTTAGGCATCACAATTACCGCAAAGACTGAATGCGTTCTCTTTTTGGTGGGCATACCTGAGCTGGAAAATCGCGAATGAATCATCTAAAACTGAGCGAAAAAAGCTTAATAAATGCTCAATGAGATGTGACCAAAACCAAATGATCATTAATTATGCTCTAGGTTATTAAGCTTTTGCAGTTCCCGTTCCCTTGATGGTTCTTCTGCTCCCTATATTCAGTATTGTGAATAATTAGACTCGGATGTTTCAACACATCAAACAACTAACTATATATTTCATCCTGTTAATGCACCGACAAGCAATATAAATATTTAAATTATATTTTTATAAAACTGATTTATGTCTATTACATACAATGCGAATGTGCTGTGGCATACATATGTATGTTTGTGCAGATGCAAGGGGAGGGATCTACATTGTGTGCGTAGTAGCGTGTGTGACAGCTATAAACTTTTAGCACGTGTGTGTTTGTGTGTGTGTTTTAGAAGTAGATGAAAATCTAAGCACATAAATACATACATACATACATATGTATGTGTGTATGCACAGGCATTGTGAGGTGCATTATTTTTAAATTCTGCAACGATTTTTTCGAGGAAAGCTTTTGTTGTGATCAGCAAATATCGATCAGTCGTACAGTTGTCGGGATGCAGTTAAATTCATTGGCATCTGCACGCGGCGGCTGGTTCTCTTTTTTTTCATCATTTCTCGCGACGACCGTCTGTCAATAGGGAAATCTAATATACGGGGGCGCTGCAAACGAACCGATCGAATATTGCGAACACAAATTATGACAAACGAATTCCGGTGGTGCACACAGCCATAGCAATCAAAATCCTTTGATTTGTCGTATCCAAAAACCCTGTGCAAATATATAGAAACGAATTTTTGAGCTGCCTGCAGTAATAAGTTATGCAATACAGAAAGCAGTGCATACATTTATGCAGAGACTGTAAAGTGAATTAAGTGGAGTGGATAACAGAGTCAATCAGATCCGGAACTACAATGGATAACGTAAGCTATGCGTGACGGCGAGGGTCGGGTCGGGTCGCGCGAGTGCGTAAACATACAACATAAATCCGTGCGAAAATATGAACATGTGCCAAAATTTACTTATTAATACATTTGTGCAACGCAACCTACATACATATGTACATATACATATACTAAGAGAGTATATATAGTAGAGCACCCATTACTGTGAAACTTTCGAATAAAATCAGAGACAATTGATGTAATTTAATTTCGAACTCGTGCTGTGGGTTAAACTTGAACTCTTTTGGAAAATAATATTTTAATATAAATGCATTAATTAATATTTCAAAAATTCCATCAATAAATTGTCTCAAAATAATAAATGTTGGACCAAGCTACATATGTATGTATGTATGTATGTATGTATGTACATATGTGTCAAAGGTGTCGGAACGATCGGAATGAAATCCCGTTAAAGAGACGACACTGTGGACACTGCACTGTGCGCAATCAGCTGATGTCGAACGCATCAAGCTTTGCACAGTCAAATTGAAAAGCGGAATAAATAGACGAGCCATGCCATGCCCCCCGCGTGTCTATGTCAGCCACAAAATAGACTTTCAGCTAACGAGCTAATTTTTGTTCAGCACTGATACAGACACTTCCATTTGGCTACACGCAGTACGTGTGTTCGTACGTACATATTATGAGGCCAGATCTAATAAATTTGCACAAACGGAAAGCTTTCCGCGCTCTCCCAAGTACATAGGATACGCGTACAGTGGCTCTTTCGAATGCGTTTAACGAAGAAGTACTACAACTTGTTTATTTGTTTAATCAACAGGTACCAGATATTGTATTCGTGAGTCGTGACTATCAGGCTCAAACATTGGCCACGGACGAGATCAGTGTGGCCCGCGGAGACCTGGTCGAACTATTGAGCACAAAGGCAACAGAAAAATCAAGGTACGTTGGACTAACCAGAGCTTAAAGCTAAAGAGTTTTAATTTATGAATGCTTTCAGATGCTTTGTGCGAATGTTCGATAGTGGGGATGCTCCCAAGGAGGGCTGGGTGCCAATTGAAATACTTGAATTTAATCCCAACATGAATAGCTCCAATGGCAAAGAGACCGGCGATGCAGAGTTTAAAAAGCGGTAAGCCACGAAAGATCTCAGCTACCTATTGGATCATTATTTGGGCTATTTTTAGCACCATACTGAGGGAGCTGGTGGAAACCGAGGAGGAGTTTTCCAGGGACCTGCTGCATGTGCTAGAGAAATATATTAAAGGGATTGACAAGCCGGTGGTGCCCAGATCAGTGAGAGACAACAAGGATGTAATATTTTGCAACTTTCTGCACATTGCAGAGTTTCACAATAAGTTAGTTATCTACAAAGATTGGAGAGGATTATCTATGGTATAATTATTTTCCATTGCCATTACAGCGTGCTCAAGGAAGGACTCAAGTGCTACAGCA